AACACATACGTCAGCGTCGTCGAGTCTAGAACATCTGGCCAAAACCGATTCAGTGCCAGACATAGTTTGACGTTACTAGTTTCTGATGTCGCAATGCCTGACTTCTAGGTCCGTCCTAGTCACTTAGGCTGCTGGTTGCGATCCAAACACCAGCTCTTGATAGCCGCCGACTGATCAAAGATATGACATATCTTGGTGACAATCTGCGTTTGTAAGGCAGTGACGACTGCGGGTCCATCAGCCATGGTGACCCCGTCCAGGTTCATGCTCTGGCCGCACCCGTTAGTTGAATCGAGCAGAGAAAGTAAGGGAGGGCGGCACGGCGCGGCCACTTCAACCTCTGCGAATCATTTGGCGTAAGTGCTGTATAGCCCTGTGAGCTGTGGTGGAGCTCGGCCCGCTGCGGTACCAATCTTGAGCAAGTCGTTGCGAAGTGACCGTGCGAGAGTGATGATGATTGTCTAGTGCGAAACTTAAAGATACTGGACCGGGCTGGTCGTTGAGCCGTTCGGAGACACTTGTGAGACCAAAGGGCAGTCGGCGAGTGTGACTCTTAGTATTAACGCCTCGCAACGCTGCTAGTCGCCGTTCATCGGGCGTGTATCCTTTTGAAGTGTGTTGTGCGAAGTGAGGAGGCCGATCACACGGGTGAGTCCACACAGTTCGTTCGTATGCCCTATATTATCCTCAGAAAAGGCTCCGATGCCGGCGTTAACTCATTGCGTATCTTGTGTGCCTCTTGATCACGGGAAGTCTCTTGGAGAGCTGGAACTCCGGGATGTGACGGGGACTTCCTTGGTCGTAATGTGAGCGATCGTAAGCACTGAGACAACGGCCAAGGATATGTCCTGTAGTACCATTCTCTGGTATGCGCGTGATGCGTCTCATGGGCATTTGTTTCCTTAGATCTCTTTTCTTTTTTCTAGAGTACGCTTCGACACACCTCCGCTCATTTTGCAGTGTTCACAAGAGCTTCCGGCGGAGCCTGCTGAGGCGAGGAGGTTTACTGTGTTACAAGCTTGCTGCAATTGCCTCCTGCACTCGCCATCTCTTCTGCTTCAAAAGATCTGTAACACACATGATCAGGGTGGCTGACATGTCCTGACACTTGGTTGGTCAATTTGAGAGCACGTCACGTGATCGCGCGCCAAATCAACCAACATCGCTGGAGGACGCGTCGATGCAACCACATCTCAACTGTGAACATGTCGAAAAAGCAGAAGGTTACTCAATACCAGGAGCGCGTTTATACAGCCCTTCAGATGATCCCAGAGGGTCGCGTCACGACGTATGCCGCCATCTCAAAGGCTTTAAACAGCTCTCCTCGCGCGGTGGGTGGTGCGCTGCGCGTCAACCCGTTCTGTCCAGAGGTACCATGCCATCGGTGTATCGCCAGTACTGGTGTACGTTTGTCATTATCTGTGTGTGGGTTCCTGTACTGATTGAACAGTTCGTTGGCGGATACAAAGGTGACTGGGAGAAAGCACCCAGCGGCCAGAACCAGGATTCGAAGCTGCAGCTGCTGAATGAAGAAGGGGTCTCGTTCGATGCAGATGGATTCTTGGTCGATAAGACATTGCTGTGGGATGATTTTGACTTGGAAAAGTTGAAGTAATTGTGATGGAAGCGTGGAGAGTCGCGTTCGCGAGGCTGAGGCAAGTGGGGGCGGGGCGATCAATCAGAAAGTTTTGGTGCAGCCAACACGTCGGGAAGGAATGCACTGGTAGCAGGTGCTGTTATATCAAGGCTTGCGCACAACCTTGGAAGCCGTCTTCTGCGCACTACACTACAATTGCTTAGCAATCGTCAGACGCAATTGCGCAAATTTGCCACTTGAACATCGGTTACCTGCGCATACCTGAGTTTACAACAACACCACTTTCTAGATTACCGCTGCATCAACTTTTTCACTGCTACATCCGATCATCAGTATGCCGCCGAAGAAATTCTTAAAGCCGAAGCCAAAGGGAAAGGTGAAGCCGCCGGAGCCGGAGACTGAGAACGACTTCCTTGAGGCTGCGGACGAATTCGAACAGGCGGCAGGCAAATGGCGCGCAGGAGACGCCGCGAAGGCTGTTCGCTTCTTTAACCGAGCGATAGATGCGTATAATGAGGGCCTAAAGCGTCATCCTCAATCATTCGATCTTGCCTACAACAAGTGAGTCGTCGCGGTGCCTGCTTGTTCACTCAATGCTAACGGTACTAGAGCGAACCTACAATACACCATCTCAGAAGATGAGCGCATCATCTCACATTTCGGGAACAGAACTGCGCTGTTAGAGGAGACTTTGATGTCGCATCGCTACGCCATCTCACTAAACCCCACAAATACCGACATTCTTTTCAATGCTGCGCAAGTACTTACCTCATTAGCGGAGGCCGGTTTGGAAGCCAGCTCACCGGCAGCCGGAAAACAAGATGCGAGACCGTTGCTTGAGGAGGCGTTTGATATCCTCACAAAATGCTTAGAGAACCAGCAGCAAGAGTACTCTCAGATGCAGGCCGAGATTGCCAAGATCGAGGCCTCGGGAGAGTACAAGGAGGCTTGGGAGGGTGAACGTCAACAGCCAGCAGAGACTCAGGAACAAGACATGAAGACCGACTCCGGGGCTTCTGAAACACCAGGAGACTGGGCAACTGTTGAAGAGCCGCTGACACCAACAAGCATTTTGGAAACCTGCACAGCACAACTCAGTACCTTAACGACATTACTAGGTCTCTACAACCCCGCTACAGATCTATCAAGTATAGAAAAGAAAGCACAGGACGGGATAGATACAGCTACAAACAAGATCCCAACACTCATAGATCTCATCGAAAAGTCGCCCGCTCCGAAAGCCGTCGATGAGCCCAAAGCAGGTCCTACACTGTCCATATCCGCGCCAGAAGAAGCAACCACAACACCCAAAGACGATGCGATACTCGCGGCTGCCAATTTCCAAGCTAGCGTAGCGGAGATGCAATACCGTAGCGGCAGAACCACTTCGACAGAATACGCAGCAACTGTCGAGCAAATCTTCAGCAGTCTAGTACAAACCGCGACGCAGAACGCGAGTCCCGATCTCGCGACCATCAACGTACAGTCCGCATATGCGGATGCGCTCATGGATCTCGCTTCAGCACTAGCAGATGGTACACAATGTACCCCATCAGAACCCACATTCAGCACAGACGTCGATATCCAGTGGACAGCTCTCACGCAGACCCAAAACCTGCTCACCAAACTGTCCGGCGCACCCTACACCTCCATCCTATCCCCATCACGACTGGCCGATGTCTTCATAGCAAGGGGCGACACCGATCTCTTCCGTTTCCGCATCTCGCTCTTCGAGGGCGCGAAGCCTGCTTGGGCGAAGAGTGGACCGACTCTGGTCTCCAATGCTGGTGTCTTTTACCGGGGCGGAAGGAGCTATGCGGAGAAAGCTGGTGCGGTTGGAGTGCGCAGCACGGCGGATGCTAAGGCAGTTGTGGCTGAGATACTGAAAGCGGTGGCGAGTGGTTCGGAGATGACGAAGGATACTTGGAAGGAGAGGACTGCGGACGTACCGAGAGTTTTGGAGCAGATGGTCGATGAGGGTATCGTGGGGCGCGAGAACGTCGATGGTTTGATGAATTGGGTTTAGGAAAGAAACGCATGTGTACGGACCACCCATATATCGATGTGTGTAATGTCAACGTAACAAATCCATTTCTGCGTTCCTCAGGTACTGTTATACCACTAGCTTGTCTACTCCATCACCGTTGTCGGTCTTGTTCCAGATCTTTTCAGTCCGAATCCGGAAGCAATACGATTGCGAAGTGATGTTTTTGTTGCTCTTCTGTCATCTGCATCGTCATATCCAATGTGCTTTGATCCACGGTCACGCTGCAGTATTCTCCGTGCTTCTGCCCAAGAGACTGTGTCTGTATTGATGCTGTCTTTGGAAGGCTTTGGCACCGTGTTTGTGATTCCGTCTGCAGACCGAGGACTTTGTGCGCGAGTTACACTTTCTTGATCGTTGTGGTTCAAATCAACAGGACTGGACGAGAAGGATCTTCTCGGCCATTTAGCAGCGAATGGAGGCTTCTCTTTCTCAAGGGTGCTCTGAATCGAGTGGAACGCAAGGGGTTTTCGCTCGCTACCTCGCGACAGAGCACGTCTCTCTACCTGCAAATCTTCTACATCCACGTGTAAACGTTCGGAATCCACCTCGCTCTGGATCGATGAGTGGATCACAGGGGGATTTCGCTCGCTACCTCGCTGCAGAGCACGTCTCTCTGCCTGCAAACCTTCTACCTCCACGCGTAAACGTTCGGACTCTACTCGCAACTCTTTTAGTTCCTTGTCGCCGGGAAGCTGGAGCCTGCGGAGATCGTCCCGGAAATCACATTCTAGCTTATAAGTCTCGGCGGTGTGAGCCTTTCTGATCTTCGCCAACGATTCTGAATGTGCTTGTAATGTGTTCTTGTATCTCCTTTCGTTAACCTCATCCACCATTTTCAACGTAGCTGAATGTGCTTGTAATGTCTTCTCGTATGTCCTTTCGTTCTCTCTCTCCACTCTCTTGATCATCTCTTGCAGTTCTGCAATCGCTGCTACATGTTCTTTGAGTGAAACGACGTCTTCTTTGCAGCAACTACTGAACGTAGATGGTGCAGAAGTATCATGCCTGTTCGTATCGTAGGATGTGACACTGCTCAAAAGTTCTGATGCCGTTGGCCGGTCTGCTGGATTCATGGAAAGCATGAGCTTGATATCGCCTTCTAGATAATACACTTCCCGTGAGAACTTATCCTCGCCATTTTGCAGCCATGTGGTCAATTTGTCGATGTTCGCATGGAATGATGGATCGGCCGATCGATTTGTTCTGATCTGATCTAATGAACCTCGTCTGTGTAAGCACAGTATTTCGACAAGAACGCATCCGAGGGAAAAGATATCCGCTGCTCTTCCACTGGGTTTCCAGTCGGCAACCCTGCAGTCCATGTTAGGGTTACGCTATTAATGCTGTTAATGAAACTTACTCTGGAGCAAAGTAGCGCGGTGTTCCGCGTTCGTTGTTGGTTGCACTCTGCGAGAGAAGCGTGAAGTCCGTGGCGCTTCCAAAATCGCTTAACCAAATTTTCTCTCCGGACAATAAGATATTGGAAGGCTTGAGGTCCTTATGACGAATCTTTTGGTCGTGCAAGTATGCAACGGCTGAGATCAAGCAGCCGATCTTCGAGTATACTAGTGTAGCCTTGTGCTGTTCGGTCTTTGCTGGGAAATTGTAACCGAGCTCTTCGAGTCGCGATCTGTGGATATAGTCCATGGAAACCGCTTCTACTCCAGGCTGCCTCTCTGTAGGCGCTACGTTTGACCATGCCTCAACGTCTTCAAAGAACGTATGCAGATCGCACACTGCCACTGGGTACATAAGCACGCCTAGTATTCTTTTCTGAGTATATGTGCCAATCAACTGTGTGATATGCACGTGGACCAGTTTCGTGAGGATCGATATCTCTTTTTTCTCGATCTCTTTCACTCTTCGGGTGAAGTATATTTTCTTGTGCGCAAGCTTCCATCCCTGCACGGTAGTTTCGTGGACATCTCCTGTAGCACCTCGGCCCAGAAATTGGCCTGATATCGCTCATAGTCAGCTCCGAACTATTAGCTTGCAGCACTTCATACAAAACGTACCTTGTGTCAGAGGTACCGTTTCCCTATCATCAAAGTCAACATGGATACCACTCCCAGTCTCTGACCAGTCTTCAATGACGATCCGACCATGGTGCGTTGCGTTGGCCTTTTCGACAAGGCTACCATTCCCGTCGAGCGTCTCGCGCTCCGTGTCTGAAGCTTCAGTAACGTTGACGGTGTTATCAGTGTGGGTCTCCCCAAGATCAGACAGTGAAGAGGATGACATCGTGCAAAACCCGAGTTCTGCTCAACGATACATGATGAAAAGTGGAATAGACTGGTCGTCGTTTAAAATGTCACCGCAGTCAAGAGGGCAGGCGCGAGCCAAGTTGCGGCTGAGCCGGACTGCGCCTTCCATCGAAGTGTGCTGCAGAACACGAACGTGTGAGCCAATCGCACACTAAATGTTTGGAGCCCCCAGGACGACGCAACAAACCACATTAAAACTGGTCAAAATCAAGAACAACACAGACAGAAAGATGGACACACTACTCATTGCCAGACCGTCGAGCATATGTTGCACCGACAATCGCTCTTCATGTTCTCGAGGTTAATCAGATCCGTATCCTATATGCTACGGTGCCTTCGACCTCGGCGTCTTGCCTCGAAACCAACTGTTTTGCTCTTCAACTTCAGAGATGTCCTTCCATGTCGTACAAGTACATACTTCAGCCTCCGCGTTATTTATCTTTGCCCAGCGAGCCTCCGCTCTTGGACCTCAGACAAAGCCCGGCTACCGCTCAGGAAAGCAACAACTGATACAACGGCAGCAGCCGGCAGAGTCTGGAAGAGGTTCCAGCTGGTGTAGTACAGGAAGAAAATGCCCTCCATCGCCAGGATAGAGCCATAAAACAGCCCGTGCGACACGGGTGCGTTGCCCAGCGCCTTGCTCAGGTGATTGGCATTCGCGCCAAGTGTAGCCCATACACCGAGAAGGATAGGCAGCGCAGCAGCGACAGCAGCCGCGAACACAATCGTTATGATCTTAGGTGGAGATTTAGCATCCTCTTTGAAAATGTGGTGGATCTCAGACTCGGCGGCGTAGCGGACGGGCGGCTCGGGGACGCTTAGAGGGACGCTGGGGTCGCGGGTGACGGCGAGGTCGAACGCTTTGCTCTTGTATGGCGTGGAAGAGCCGAATGATCCAATGACGATCGATGCGACGATTGGCTTCTCGGATGTCAAGAATTGGTGGGGTAGGTCCTTGTGAGACTGGGTGTGTTAGCTATGCTGGCAGCCATTGCAACGTTCAACCTACCAAATCGACCTTTCCCTTGCCACTGTCCTTTACATTGAACACAAAAGACTCTTCCAAGCCCGTTGTTGGTTCGGTCAGAGTGAGGAATGCCTGATGAGGTCGCTTCGCGGTGCTGCCATCGAGGGTGGTGAGGACAAGCTTCAATGTATCCGTTGCGCCCAACGATACAGATTTGCCCAGCGGTGTCGAAGGACTCAGTCTAGACGCTTATTAGTCTTGCAATAATTGCACATAATACAAGCTCAAGCTCACTTGTCCTTTGAACCTCCGCCAACACCAGCACCTTTGCTGGTAATAGTCACCGTGGCATCCTCAAAGCTCCATGAGGAAGCTGCGGAGACAATAGCCGCGCCCGAAAGCAGAAGGGAAGAAACAAAGCCTTGAAGAACCCTCATCGTTGCTGATTCGGAAAGAGTGAACGCGGAGCTGTCAATGTTGCGCCGACACAGACGTAAGCGTGTCCTTTGCCAAGACTTCGACCGGCATGTTCCGGCGCTAGTTGCCCATGCCTTCCCTCGTCAACTCAACTCACATGCGCGGAGAGCGACGTCACTTAATTCACAACCGATCATCTTGTATCAATCCCGAGGTCAGAATGAGTGGTGGTCAATAAGTATACTCACAATGGAAAAAGTCCTTTGATCAATGCGTCTTTCTGCAAGATTCACACTTACAGACAGCCATACTAATGGACCTTTCTCCTGCGCAACAGCATTCTCCACCTCCGCTTGGTCTTTGGTACCTCATCTCCTGGATTCTCCAAAACTTCTGGCTCCTCTATCTCCTCTGGATCATTCAGATCCGCTACCCACAGCACATGAAGTATCAATCTAACCCAATCCCTTTCATCCTTCGGAAACATCCCCATCCACTCAACTTCCACAGCCACCAAGCAAGACGCATCCCCACCCCTATGCTTTCCGCGCGTGGCATCGCGATACATCTCCTGAAATCTGATTCCCCGCGTCGAAATCAACGTCCTGAAGACAGCGAATCCCAAATCCGGTACTCGAAGGTGGTAGTTATTGAACGCAAACGGATCCACCATCACATTACCTCTCAGAACCCTATACGGATCATAAGATAACTCGCCTATCTCCACAACAGACTCTTTCCTCAAATCCTGTATCCTCTTCTCAATCACATCCGTCGTAACCGCATCTCCAATCCTCCTCTTAAAATCCAATTTCTGCTGCAGCTCATCGAATCCGCGTGGCGGATACACAGCAGCGTACTCTGGCTCCCCATATATATGATACCTCGCTGTACTATAGTCGGTCTGCCAACACCTAGCTATGGCTTCTGAGATATCGTGCCTGTCACTCTCGCTGACGTTGTCGGAATAGTATTCCGGTTGTTGCCACCATTCTTTTCGGCAGAGGGGACATCGCCGTGAAGAGCTGGATGACGTGTCGAGGCTCATCTGGTGGATACAGGCTGAACCGAGGATGTGGTTGCAACTGGGGAGGTTTATGATGGCGAGAGCCTTGTCAAGCATTTGGAGGGCGAGGTTTGAGCTGCCGTAGGGGAGCTGGCAGATGGCGCATGTGTCTTGTTCTGAGAATAGGTGTAGTTGCTTGGTGGAGGTGTGGTTTGCGATGAACTGTGAGTAGGTTCGGGGTGTGGAGCACTTCGTGCAGCAGGGTTTGTTCTCTGCTGGAGTAGTGGACATGGCTATCTAGATATTCAGCAGTCTTGGGGAAGATACTATAGGTCGTGGTAGAAGGCAGATAAATAGATTGACGAACACTTCAAGCGCGTTGAATGAAGAGCAATCTTGAATTCCATGCTTTGCACGATCTGCCTCGTCAGGTAGAGTGATGAACAATTCATGACTAGTGCCTGCCACGCTTGATCTTGTGGAAGTGAAGTGTTGAATGTGATTTCGAAGTGGTGAATAACATAATACTAACTCCTGAAACATTCGATGGGTATGTTTCATCGTTTTATGTTACAAAAGGTTGCATCTGTGGCTAATACCACAGCCCCGTAGCGCGTGAAGCGCAGGTGTTCGTGTAGTGACAGACGGACTGCTTCCAAATTCCCAGGTCATGCTCGTACAATATGTGGTGTATATACAACGAAGGTGTGTCGTCCGAATCGTGACAAGAAGCGCAGTGCATCTCTTCACAGTCCCTTCTCTTGATCGAGGGTTTCCTCATGATGGTCAAGTTCTCCGTGGCTTTGTGGGTTTATTTTCCGACAGTCTGATCTTTCAATTCCTTTGTCTTCTCAGCGACCATGTCAGTCACACCCTTGGCCTCCTCTCCCACTCCCCTCGCCTTCTTAGCCATCCTGTCCTTCCAGGCCTTGTCTTCCTCGTCTCGCATCTCCAACTCCCTCAGCCACCTGTCCCTCTTGTCCATGCGCTCCTTCTGCGCAACCTGCTTCTCGTACTCCTTGCGCTTCACGCGATCCTTTTGCCAGTACATATTTCCTGCGACCAGTACGGCGATTGTGAAGGCTTGGGCGTATAGACGTCGGCGGAAGTACATGTTGGTCGCCTTGTGGTCGCCTTTCCGCATCGAGCGGGTTGCGCCGATGATGGCCCAGACGGTCAGGCCGCAGCCGAGGGGGACGAGGGGCTCTTCGCGGAAGCGACGCCATATCTTGTCGAGGGTATTTTCATTGTAGAAGTCGCTGGATGACGTAGTTAGTAGGTGTATCTTATATAATCCTCGAGATTGATCAGAAGAGTCATTGAGTCTACATACGCATTCTCGTCGAAAGAAGAGGGCAGCGGCGCGCTGTTTGGTGGTCCGAAAGACATGGTGGGTAGTATGCAGATGCAAATGCGGAGGCGGCGGAGGTGTCGCGTGGGTAGAAGTGTACAATGACAGGGTCGTTACATGAACCCGCGGATCTAAAAGACTGCGCTAGCTCTGAATGCGCAAATTGAAGCTATACAGAAGCCCTGGAAGCGCTATTACAGGTACAGAGTGGGTTGTGTATGGCTTCAAGATGCGGAGCAATCGATTATCTCACCACTTCGGCCATCGGCCCTTCCTGATGTTCCAGGCCCGATGCGCGCGAGTGGTGCCTACAACTGCATCACCAGAGCTGCGCGAACCACGACAGCCCGGGTCAACCATCTCTATCCACTCCAAACCACCACGTCGCCTTCAATGAGAGACGCGGCGACAGGCAAACTCCCCTCGCTGCGCCATGAACGATGAGGCCGAGTCGTCTCGAGCTACTCAGCGCCATGACAACACGGCCGCATCCCACCTGGCCGATCTAGAGGATGCGCTGACCCGCTTTGAAGAGGCAGAAGAGCGAGAGAAGCAGAAGCAGGTCAAGCAGAGGAAATTGGATGCGAAGAGGAAGCGCATACAGATGCTGGGCGAGCTGTTGCGGGAACTGGACATGATCGTCTACCTGGAACTCATCACGCTCTACCACCTGGAGTACGCTTACCGTTCACATGCTGCTACCTTGCGCTAATCGTTTCTGTAGCTGCTCGTTCTTCTGGCTCCTGTTCAAGGCACTTACACATGCCTTTCTGCTGACGCCTATCCCCGACACCGCGACTGTCACCCGCCCACCAGACGAACCGAGGCCCTTCCTCCCGCTGCTCCTGATATCGTTTGGAGTAAATTTCCTCTTACATCTTACATATCCCGCGCCATCGGCTGGCGAAGATACCCGAGGCTATCTGCACGGCGGCTTGATGATAGACTTCATCGGGCAGCAGGGGCCCACGAGCAAGTGGAAGCTTGGGGCGCTCGACATATGCATCCTGTTCCTGCAGCTTGTCATGGTTTCGGTACACGTCAAGAGGCGGGAGCTGAAGAAGAAACTGGCCAAACTGTCAGCTGGTGGGGGTGCACCAAACACCACTACCACCCGAGCCACGTCAGACTCGGCACCGACAGCGACGGCAGCGGCGACGAATGACAACGCGAACCGAGATCAGGATGCCGATGATGAGGAGCGAGGTGTGTTACACCGAACCGATACGCTGTCAGACTTTGGCATGGATCCCGAAAACGAAGAAGACGCCCTACTACCATCATCCTCCGAATCTGGCCATGCCGACGCTATGGAGCTTCTCAGTTCGGGTCAGTGTGTCATTGGCGACTTTACCCTCATCGACACCCTCCTGCAAGAGAACCGAGATTACGCGGCTTACCGATTGACGCGCACCGAGAGCGGCAATAACGACATGCCGGAAACGCTGCGGCGGCTCAATACCTTGCGAACTCGTTTCGGGGTGGGTGGCGGGTGAACGCAAGTAAGACGTTATCTTATCATCGCCTTGCTCCGATGCACGTGTTCCAACCAGCTCCGCGGTGACACTGCTGTGACATGCCATGCACGTTGTCCCAATGAATTATTGCATGCAGCACACAAAGCCACCGCGTACGCCTAACTCATGCACGTTCGGCTCGGGTGCCCCCACGCGTTCGTTTCCCGTTGTAAGACGGCTAGGAGGGCTCGTTGCGAGCATTGGTGGCGCCGTGCTTGGACTATCCCAGTAACATTATGCGACGTGCAGTTGTGTGATCGCTTAGTTGTGGCGGTACATCGAGCAGATCACCAAGGTCTTTGTATGCATGAACGGGCAAGGGGCACTTCGGTTAAGGGGCACATGCGGTGGAAATACCACTGCATTACGATCCCACACCAGCTGCGCATGATGCCAATGTCGCTTGAGATTCCCGACAATTACTCTATGCCGCTCTATTGGAGAGCGTTATCTACCTGGTCTTAAGCGATGGAAGAGACGTGAGTTATAGCAATGCGGGATTGTTGGTCAGAGCTAGACTATTCCAAGATGTTTGCCAAAAGGCACCCACAATACTGCAAAGATTGCCAACACAGTCAGCACTGGTACTGCTGCGTTTTGCCAGTCACCGGGAAACTTGATCAGCCAATAGATCCAGAAGCCGAATGCGGCAAGTAATGGCACGAGGTGATAGACTGCCATGAAAGCGAAGGAGATTGCATGATCGGCCTCCAGTCCCCAAGCAACAGCGATGGCGTCGTCGGACTGTATGTCAAACTCGCTCTTCTTTTTGGGAATACAGCCTAGTCTGTCGGAGCGGCATGGTAAACTCACGCAATCATGCCATGGGTTGAGCCAGGGCCATCTGCAGTTCATGTCGCAGGCTTTGAGGCACACTGCGAATGTTTTGGGGGATATCATAGGGATCGTGCCTGGTCTTGGGTCGTATTCGTAGTCGTCTTTGACGCCAGGGTAGTCGGGGAGGTCGTCGCCTTGGGACAGCACGCGTCCGGCGTCGAACTTTTCTAGCTTGACAAATCTGCAGAATCGGAAGCGAAATGGAGAGATGAATCGTTTGATCCAATGTCGGTGTTTCTTGTATCGTGCTTTGAGCTCGCGGAAGAAGGCAGGGTCATTCAGTGCAGCTGTGATGTTGATCTGCTCGACTTCTAAAGACCATCGCGAGCCTTGTATGCCGAAAAGGACGCGTAAGGATAGGTTTGGGATAGTATTCGGTGGAACAGGGGTTGGCTGACCCGTAATCTGGGGCGTGGAGTTGCTATTATTGATCGCAGAAGGGTTGGTGCTGGTTCCACCTGCAGCTGCTGAGTTAGTCCCCGTTGCGGACGTCGCGGAAGGGTCTGTTGGAGTGTAGCGTTGGCTAGCTGTCGATGAATGGGAAGGGCTTGCTGCTGTACTTGCAGCCGCCTTAGTCCATGCCATCGGGAAACTCGAATACCATGGCTTAGTTTGTGGCTCCGGGGTACGATCGACAGATTGTGGAGACGTTGCACTGGAGGTCTTTCCTGGGCGCTCGAGGTGACAGCAAAAGCACTGCTTCGGATGATCAGGTAATGATGGCATGGCGAATCGAATGATGTTGCATTCGAGCGAAGACAATGTTTCATATAATTGAACTCCGCCGAACTGTATGGTTTAGAGGTCTTGCTAGTGTTCTTCTAGATGACAAGAAACGTACCTTCCAATGGAGACGGCATTCTCCATACGCAATATCAGGTACGCGAGGAGCTAATGGCCACCAATCCCATTCCGCCATGGTGTAATCCTCAAGGAAAGCCTTGGTTTTGTTGGATAATGATGTATCGTTCCTCTCCGACAAGTCGATCGCGCGTTTTGGTACACTTGAAAGAAGTTGCCGCAATGGGTCGCGACAAATCAAGAGTGCAAGGTCTCGATTGAGATTATCGTAGGGTGCAGGACATTTGAGGTCATCTCCTTCTCTGGACAGCAATTCCAGGAGGAAGCTTGTATCTGTTTCCGTGCCGCATTTGTCGTCCTTCTCGAATGCTAAGTTAGCCTCCAGACGCAGTGCGATAGCAGAAGCGATGGGCTGCCATGTGGTAATTAGCTGTTCGTCAATGCTACCTTCTATACTACCATCCACTTCGCGATCGAGAGGCGCGTGATCATTGCTGTAATGGTGGCGTAGCAAATCGGAGAAATCGTCGACAAAGCGATCTATTCCTAGAATACGAAAGGCGTATAGGTATAATTCAAATAGCGGTCGGTCATGACGGAGCATCTCAAAGCAGTCGTTCTCGATGGCGGACTCCGTTGATCGTGCATGCGCATCAGTTCGTGAGTCCGGTTTCTGGAGTCCGTTGATCCCGTTCGTTTTTTCCTCTTGGTCCAAGTCGGCCTGTCGCACGATTGACGGCTTTTTCGACCGCCTTTTCGACAATAGATAGTCTTGCAGGTCCGCCTGAAGCAACTTGAATGCTGCACTCTGGATCAGAAACTCGCGGATGTTCGTGAGCTCTTCAAAAATAGTCTCATCCACGTTGGTCTCTCCGTGCTCATCTTCATCCGACGAGTCGTCGGGTAATGTGAAAGCACTTTCTCTTTCCTCTGGTGCATCCAACTCCGGTGCTTTGCCTAGCTCGTATCTCTCCAGTATTGCTTCCGAAATCTCTCGTGCCTTTAACGCCACTAGACGAGCAGCAAGAACATCCAAGCGATCTTGTGCCTCGTCTTTGAGTCTATCAGCAAACGCTTTCAGCAGTCGCCTGAATGCATTCACGAATTTTCGGGGTCCGATGGCACCCTCGATAGCGATTGTGTAGAGTGGGTGGAGAGCCTCATGGTCTCGGAATATTGAGAGCACCTCTCGAGTTGCCGTAGCGATTTGCACCGCGGAATATCCACTGCCCTTGGACAAATCAGTAGCGGAAGATGCCATAGACGCTACAGAGAACACGGAACCCTGATCCGATGATGTCACTGACATGTAATCATCATGATCAAATCCTATGGGAGATGGGCATGGTCCGAACTCAAACGATTCACGCCTTGGTAGATAACTCGAATCGGGTGTATTTGTGCGGTTTGTTGCTTCCTCTAGACGATGAAACGATTCACGCCTTGGTAGATAACTCGAATCGGGTGTATTTGTGCGGTTTGTTGCTTCCTCTAGACGATGAAACGATTCACGCCATGATCGATAACTCGAATCAGGTGTATTTGTGCGGCTTGTTGCTTCCTCTAGACGATGAAATGATTCACGTATTGGTAGAGGTCTCGGATCGGGTGTATTTGCGCGGCTTGTTGCTTCCTTCTGACGAAGGCTCTCTTCGGATTCTGCGTCTACGTGAAAGGCTGGCCTGGGCAATGAGTTTAGCTTGGAGTCTTTCCGGAGAGATCGTCCAGATTGGATGCCTCGAGGTGCGTCTGCCACAATAACTCTCCTAGCAAATGGAGGCCTCATGTTGCCCGGGTTTGTGCGAGACGGCTTTCTGAGCAGTGGTCGCACCTCTTCGGATCGCACATTTTCATGCTGCATCTCTCCAGGTCGCGGCTCCTCAGGTTGTTCCTCGTCAGCTGCACTTTTTCTTGCTATGGCAGCTGGCCTGGGTAATGAGCTTGGCTTGGCGTCTTCCCTACGAACGATCATACCGAAGATAGGCTCACCAACCTTGCCCAAATTCGTGCGAGACATTTCTGTGGGTGACGGCCGCTTTTCTTCAAATCTCACCGGTTTCGCACTGGCAATTGGGATTTTCGAAGCCTTTCTTGGACCATAGCGATATTTACCGTGTTCTATCGCTCTGAGGATGTTACAGACTTCAAAATTTCTAGCAGGACTTTCCACGCGAACTAGGTTGTCGTTCTCTTCGACTGTGCTGTAAGTTGCGCCATCAGACTTTTGGTACAGGTATCTATGACACACAATGTCAACCCAGTTACAATCTTGTCTGTAGTACCGTCAACTTACCTAGCTACATCTTGAGCAAGAGGATAGCCCACCTCACAAAGGTTATCAAGACTGTGATGTACTTCGCACGCATTCCAACAGGCCGCACAATTCCGAGCATGCATTTCGAAATGGTAGCATGCCCGAGTTTCTGCGGTATTGGCTGGGCGCGAGAAGCTGTCTACGGGATCTTTATCAAAGCCGACAGCCCCTTCGACAACTCGTTTGCGCTTTCCCTGCGACATATTCGTGCGCGCAGACTGCTTCACTGAAAGCAATGAGTCGCTGCAATTCCTCTCCGATCCTGCCCGGGTGCTCTAGCAGATCAATCCGTCGTGAGATTTCCTTAGACACAGCAATATGCGAGTCTCAAAACCACTAGCTATGCTAGCTACTTTCGTTGTCCAAGAGCGTTGTAGATGTTAAGTGAATAGGACCAGAGATGTATCCACAACTCATCTGTGTGTCTCTGGTGCACACTAGGCTGCATTAAATTCACCCACCTCATGCAAGCCATCTACTCAAATCACTGGCTTATACGAGCAGAACAGTAATCTTGGTAAGGCACCGCCTGCTCTGGGGGAGCCTCGACGACAGGTGCGCATGCGAGCCTTACACTATACCGCGCGCCTGACTCACCTGCATGCATCAGATCATCTCCGCATTCACCCAAATCAACCCCATAGCAAATGTAACGTCAACATGCGCCCATCTCCCCAGCATCGCACACCGATGACGGCAGCGCCGGGCGCCAGTTTGCCAAACGCCCCATACCGCCCGACGTCAGCCGTCCTACCAGTGGCGAAGAGTCGTGTGTGTCTCGCCAATCTCCGTTTTGGGGGCGAGATTGGGGCCTCCATTCGACGCTCAGCGTTGTGCGCTGTCCAATATCGAGGTTCCGTCTGACGGCAGATTTAAGCGGTCGTGCCGACATGCACAGCATGCGAGATCTTACGGGTAGCCAGTGCCGCTCTGCTGCAGAACCAGGTGTCGGCTGCAAGACTTACATTGCTTGCGCAAACGTGGCGTGAGTACTCTCCCGCGCAGGGGGGAGGGGCTGCGTGTGATGGTACGCTGTATACGGAGTGGTCTACTGCCTTCACGAGATGGATGGATCTCGCTCGTGGGATGGCCATGCGAAACCTGATTGCGAAAGCGGGAATAGTCAGACTCGACACGTCGGGAGGTACAGTTATCGTCCACCAATACTTGCTGTCGCCTATCGCGCCTTCTATCTCAAGCAACTACACGTGCGTTGTGTCACCCACCTATTACCCACCCACCTTCATTTCCACATGGCGAACATGGAAGGTAGGAATAACAAATCATATTATGGAGCAGCTTTTGGAGGACCCTGCATGGCCAGTTCGTATCGGAGGCCCTTTTGCAGCGATTCGCGCGAGCCGCGTTTTGCTCGCATTCCTTCGATTCTCAAAGTCGTCTCGGAACAGGAAAAGGACCTTTGTACTTCGGCTGCCGCGACGCGAAGCTGCGTGGGATGAATAGCATAATGTGCAAGGTAGTGAAACAGAGAAGGATGGCTGAGTCTTCAGTCGTGGCCAAGCTCTGCGTTTGCGTCCTCGATCACACGAAAGGTCGTCGAACGTTACTCTCTCATCTCATTCGCAACCGCACCACATGCTCGCGGATGACGCGCGCCCGGTCAACGGGCGGGTTATAACGGAAGCACGGATCGGAACGTCGAACGACGCACCGAAACCCAAATCCCTCTCATGGTTTATTCGCCTCGACATGCACCCACACGGCGCCAAGAATAGCATGCCACCACATGGTCCCACCTCTTGATGATGCGTGTGGGGAGCTCAACGATTGGCCGAAGCTTAACCTGCCTTGTGAGCGAATACTAAACTTTGGCTTGAATTTTTCTGATTGGCGGGATTGGCTTGCCTTGCGAGGGTGCGAGTAAGCAAGCGATTTGACATCTTATGATATGCAGCGCGTGGGCCGACTGAGTTGCATCCCCGTTCCTTGTTGTGTGTTGCATGCTCGCAAAAGGAGTTAGCATGCTCACGTGACTGATCCAAGAGCTCGCTTGCTTGTCACTCCTTTACAGGGCTTTGTCATTGCTGACATGCATGGGCCACGGCGTGTTGCACCGCGTGGCTTGCATGGTTGGGCTCTGAGTTCAGCGTCCTGGGGAAGGCGATGCACATTTCTGACAAGGATAATGCTGGTGTGATGCATACGTGACCCGACAGGACGGTTCGGCGTTTGGGCTAGCTGCAGCATGGAGGGTGGGTACGTGCGGGATTATAGAACTGGCGAGCGTGCCATAGGCGATGCGCGACATGCGATGCAAGATGCGATGCTGAACTCGTTGCGACTTTACTATACCTAGGCACTTGACCCGCTCCGCCGGCTCTCGCTGGGGTGAGACACCTGAGTGGACGCATTTAGTTATGTCTGACACGACTCGCTGCATATTGCATGCCGCCGCTTGAGGTTATTGGCAATTGCGCCAGACTCCATACGTACGTTGACAACCGATCCTGATGTAATAGGATTCATATCGGTTGCAAGCTGCCTTCAATATGTGCTACCGAGGACGGTTGGGGAACTCGTGTCGAAGCGCAAGAGCTCACGATCATGCATGTAATGGAGTGGGGTGTGCAAGTCTTGCCCCACAGTTCTGCAGATTCCTGGGCGTATTCTAGTTGCGAAGATCAATTTTGCGCAGTAGGATCGCCATGTCTTCTCGAGTCAAAGAACGTGTAAGGGGTTTATCGCGAACACATTCGGCAGGTGCGAAGAATTCAGTTTGAAAAGAGCGCCGTGCGATATTTGCTTTGTCGTCCTGCAACGTAAGGCGAAAAGACCATGTAACCCTCATATGCGCCAGATATACAAGGCCATCGAGTCAGTCGTACGATCCGGTGAGAATTCCGCTCATGGCCCGCTGTATGGAACAGCATCGTCGTGCAGTAAAGCAAATATTACATGCAGGCGGAGGAGCGCGATGTCATCGCGTGACAAGATGAATCGATAGAGGTGCACAAATAAGTCTGAGAGAAACGACTTTGGCGCTGTGCAGATCCAGTCCCATGGAGACAGCCCCTATGGCGTTGTATCGACATGGCAGGAATATGCGGTGTGAACTATAGGTACACGTGTCGAGAGTCGGTCATCTGGATGTGTGTGGAGTCCCTCTAAACCGCGGATGTATTGTGCTCCCACATGAATGGACCCGTTATGCAGGTCAAAAAGACACCAGCTGCAAGGGATGCAAAATGGGGAAGTTGATCCGGAAAGTGAATTCCAGATGCCCCCATAGACTCTGCAACCAGCAAAATGAGGTTTCTTGTGCCGTGATGCTGAAGCAGAAAAACGAAGGCACGCATCGGCAGTTGCAAGCGACCGAAACGTGCTGACAAAACCCGAGGCATCTACACTCGCGGTCGGCCCGAGTAGCGAGAAGTATTCGGGTAAGCACAGCAAAAGAAGATCATGAGCCGGAACCGCTGCAACATGCGCAGTCTTACAGCCTTGTCACCCGCCGCAGAGGTAAACGGTGAGCAAGTGTTGATCCTAGACACAGAAGCCGGCGTGATTGGGTGGATCTTTGTCCCCGGTCGCGGCATGTCATCAATCAAGACCCTTGTACGACGGCGGCTCTGCCTAGGTAGTTCTTCCAGATGCGTAGGATCACGGGTCAAGCGGCTGGCTCGTGGGTAGGCTAGGTTGCATCCTTGCAACGCATGCTGCAGCTTGGAGAGATTTTTAGTGCTGCTCTTTGCACGTCCACCCGCATCATCATTGCGAGTCAGCTTTACACCGGATGCTGGTAGATATAGCGTTCGCGGATGTGATGGCATCGAAAGTGGAGAGATGGCGGTGAAGGTGTTGCGTGCGCGCTTCGGGGGCCCGGCAAATCTGAGATTAGGCCCGATGACGAGGGTGGTGATCAAGAGCCATGTCGTGCATACAGCGGCACAGCAGCTAGCCCCTAAGTATGTCATCGTGATGATTGG